ACGAGAGTCACCATTAATTGTTTGCTAGATGGATGCAAGGACCATTGTTTGAAAATTTTAAATTAAGGGATAAACTTGATGTCATTTAACTGAAAGTTCATAAAAAGATGATGAGCTGACCTATTTCTGATGAGAGTAGCAATATTGTTTCAATTCACCTAAGTACTCATCTAAATACTATTAATAAAAATATTTCAATAAATATAGTACATTTTATCATTTAAAGCAACAAATCTAATAAGTGACATTAAAGAGTTTGGTCTCGGTTTCTATTTTGTCTTTAGATTTGACATCATTTAATATCTTTTAATTTTCTTCCGTCTCTTAGAAGTTTGACCAGATTTAAAATTATTTTTTTCTTGTTTCTCAAATTTTTTGTTTTCCTATTTTTTAAATATATTTTAATTTATATAAAAAACTTACAAATTAATTTTTATAAAAAAAACTAATTTATATTTTCATACAGTACATATCGTAAAAGGATAACATAATATAAAATATATTAATAAAAAAATATTAAATTTGTTTTTCGTCTATATAAATAATTTAATTCATTTCCAAGTAAAATTTATTGTTAATTCTATTGTTAAATGATAAAAAAATCATCGATAAGTTACCGGAAGAATCAAAAGTGCGGTAAAAAATTTAAAAAATCATATTTTAAATTTTTTTAAAAATATTTAAGATAACCACATAAATATTTAACCTAAATATTTGATAGTTATACAATTGTCTTATAAAAAAGGTGAAAGAAATCACGAAAAGACTGTATAATTTAAACTTAAAACATTATAATTTTTTCTTCTCACTTTATTCAATAAAATACGAGAAATTTGTAGTAATTTTAAAACCTTCTCACCCTTGAGAGTTGAGACTCAATAAAATATGAGAAATTTGTAGTAATTTAAAATTTCTTCTCCCTTGAGAGTTGAAACTATGTGTAAGTGTGTAGGAATTCATCTCTTTACATTTTATTTTCTATATTGGTTTTTTTACATATTTATATTATTTTATTTTTATTTATTTCTTATTATGTTTGGCGGAAGGTATATTTAAATATACTTGAAGAACATGCGGTCTATTATAGAAAAAATTTAGACTTTAAATATTGTAATAACCTTATTAGATATGTAATAAATTTGGGAAGAAATAGATATCTGTAAATTTTTTGACTGATTCCCATAAAAAAAAATTAATACTTAAATCAACAAATATTATGATATATAAGTGTGTACAAAAAAAATATACTTGTGTGAATTTAACTGGAGTTTTTCCATTAGTATGAAAACATAAAATTTTATTATATAACAGACACATTTTAAAACTCATTTAAATAAAATAGTTAAACATAAAAAATAAAAATAAAACGTATTCGAAACTTTTGATTTTTTAATACTAGAAACAATTAATTTTTTTCAAAATCTAAAAATTTATGAATAACCATATATGTTTCTTAAGTCTATAAATTTAGTTTTTAAAAATTATTTCAATCTTTTAAAAAAAATAACGGAGCAGCTTATTATTTTCTTCTATTTTTATATAAACTTTAACAATCGTACTTTATTTTTTAGCAAAATAATTTAACCGGTAGACTCATTATGTACAAAATCTCAAAATTGAGTTTATGAATTCTTGCAACCACATATCAAATTCTTGGCCACTATCAATTGCCTCTAATTTTTATATTCGTTTTGCATCTTAATAAACAATTAAGGAATTAGTTAGTTTAAGAAGGGGCTTAAAAATTAAGTTACCATTAAGGCAAACCCCCAAATGGTAAGTTGTTTTTGACACTTTCCAACCTTAGGTAGGTTTGAATAAATGTTGGCTTATATTCACGTTAGTTCCATGTTTGATAATGGGGATGCTATCACACGTTATAGGGTGCATAGCTACATGAAACTAATTAAGGCATCCAACTTAGAAAAATCTTTAGTCACTTTTGACCTTGATTTTCAGTATGGTCTAGATTATAAGCAAAACCAATTAAGTTCAAATTAATTAAAGATACTCAATTAGGTGTAACTATTTTTCTTGATGTTATTAAAAAAAAACATTTTCAAATGCCTCTCACATAACCTTATAATTTGATTTGTAAGAAAAAGTCATTGAAAAATAAATATATAATTTGATTCTTAATAAAATGATTAGCTTGAGTAATTTTTGAAGTAAAATTAATATAATATTATTATTTATTAAAAGAGTCTTATTAATAATAACCGGGAGAATATTTAAATAGAATGTAACAAGTTTCTCTCCTCTTGACTTTTAGAGATCTCTATTTAAAACGCAATGTACTTGCTTTTTATTGGAGTAAAGGTTGAAGATAAAGATGGAAGAAGAGAGAGAAGAGAGAAAATGTAACAAACTCTCAATGATAAAATTCAGTTATGATACCATTTTGAAATTCAGTTATAAGAGTTGTTTAAATACACAAAATAAATTGTCATGTAGGCACAGCTAAAATCAAAGTTAAGCTAATAAAACTCAGAACAAGGTTTTAAGCATGCAACTTCTCAGCTACGCTAAGCAAGGTTCTAAAGCATGTAACTTCTAAATAACACACCTTCTAGAAATACTCTTGCTTTCTGACTAACAACATCAGAAACTTCTGACTCTAATAATAGTTTTTGAATATAAATTACTTCTAACACTTTCTACCCTTTGTTCATTTTTTTATTTTAACTAACACTCAAAAATGACAGAATTAGAGAACCTGGATCTAGATTTCCTCATTATTGACCTTATTGACGATATAAAGGTTAGTGACTTTGATTCTTGAACTTAGGTGGGAGTGATTAATCCAAGAGATGTGGAGTTTCCTCCACTAAGATAAAAATGAAACATGTTAGTGTTGGATTTATTTTTGGTGAGATTCTAAAGACTTCTCATATACTTGTGATGAATCTCATTGAGGATCATATGGCGGAAGAGTGTTACTATAAGTTTAGGGTGTATGTTCAAATATAAAGTTGGTGAAGATGATGTGAGGTGATAGTTGGAGGAACGATCAAGATGTAATACTTATAGTAAGTATTTTTTTATCTGTGAACGATGAAAAGGATATGAGAAGGAAAGTGAAACAAATGCTTAAACTATGTGATGATGTTGTTGAATATCTTTGAGTGGATGACAAAATTATAGAGACTTTGTCCTGGTACACTAGTAAAAGTAGAATGGAGTATACTTATCAAGATGTCGAATCGTCTTTATAGTGAAAGTAGAATGGAGTATGCTTATCAAGATGTCGGATCGTCTTTGAACTGACAGATGATTTTCCCAAAAACAATAAACATGTTTATAATAATATGAAATGTGTGGATTGCCTCTATAAAATGTATTTTTCAAGATGAGGTTTACCCTTCCTTTTAATGAATTGGAAGTTTATGTTTTGAATCACTTAAGAATTTGTCTTTTACAATTTCAACTTGTGAGTTGGGTCTAGAAAGTGTTCTAACATTGGTGTGAATATAAGAATTGTGTTCCTATATTGATAGTATTCTTCCATTTGTTTCATGTTTTGAGAAAATATATTGACTCTGACCACATTTACGGGTTGATTTCGTTGAAGTAAGGTCGTAAATAAATAAATAAATAAATAAATAAATATATATATATATATATATATATATATATATATATATATATATATATATATATATATATATATATATATATATATATATATATATATATATATATATATATATATATATATATATATATATATTCAAAGGATTAAGGATAAATATTAATTTGTTTCTCCCGACAACCGTGTTGCTCACGAAAGTCTTAGTGAGATTCCAACAAGGGGGACTTGGAGACTGGAGAGAGAAGTAGAGGGCCTTGGAGGCCGGAGAGAGAAGTAGATAAGATGTTGAAGATGACCATCTCGACGAAGCTTCTGGTATGATGGTTATGATCTTCGGTGATCAAATAGGATAATTTGCAAGATTAGCATTCATACGTTCAAATAAGTATATGAGAGGGAAGGAATTGTTGTATGTGTAAAAAGAATAACGGATTTGATTCAAAATCGCACTTATACATAAGAGACGGTTAGAAATGTTCACATTTGATCCGACGCGAAGTGCAGATGACCGTTGAATGTGATCCAACGTGAAATGCAGATGACCGTTGAATGTGATCAATAATTGAGATGAGAGAGAAAATTGTATTTCCATATGATATCTTAAAATGAAAGGTCTAGAGTGTCCTTTATTGAATTTGACCTACAAATTGAGCCGGTATTGATAAGTCTTTGGTCGACCCGAAACAACTTACAGAACTTTTTATTCAACAACACCTCATCTATAGTTCTGGCTTTTTAAAAAAAATATATGTAGATACCGCAGCATTTTCCGTTCAGAAATGAAGGAACATAAAAACGACACTAAGTATTGAATGTGAAACATGGAGGTCATCGAAGAGAAAGTTGAATCAAAATGGGACCACAGTTGGTGGGAAGCCACTCGTTTCTCACAAAAATATGGAAGTTGTAATAATCAACATGCTTGACTTTTGTGGCAGACAGGATATATACATCTATTAAGTATGTGGGCTATTATCATTGCCAACAGCTAATCCTATGATGTTTTTCTTAAACAAGTAGTTGATTGATGTTCATGTTTGATTTTATTTTTTCAACAACGACTTTCATGATTCATGTCTACAGATAATGAGATTGAATTAGTCATGCATTTACTTAAAATTAATTCAAATATTTCATAAAATTAAATGGACTTTTACTAGTATAATCTTACACATATTTCTGTGAAATTGTACTACGGATTGACTTCATATCAAGGGTAGTTAGGTTGGATATAGAAATAAAAACTTAAGAGGGGAATAATAGAATCAATAGGTATTCTGAGAGAAAAATCAATAAATTAATCAATGTCTAAATAAACTTTCATGTTACAGAAATTACAAATTGTATTAACATTAGACTGGTCATGAATTACAATGTAAATTATACAAAACTCCATTGTTCATCTTCATCAATATTTACCAGGTTTGTTGTCCCTCTTATGCTGAACCTTTAATTTCTTACCTCCTAATTGGCATCCATTCATCATACTTATTGCAGATTGAGCATGATCTGGGGAATCATAACTTACAAACCCTGCAAATGAGAGAGTTCATCAAACACAAGCTCCAAACAAAATCCATGAAATTGATTAGAAATAAGAGCATAGGTTTACCGAAACATTTGCTGACACCGGTTGCTTTGTCAACAAAAACTTTAGCACTTAAAACTCTACCGAAAGGTTGAAAAGCATTAGCAAGCTCTTGATCTCCGAATTCTGGAGGTATGTGGTAGATAAATAGATTTGCGCCAGGGGGTCCTGAGTGAAAGTGTAAAAATATGCAGAATTAGCACCAGGTAACATTTATCGTTGTAAGGTAGTAGTAACATTTATCAGGTATGCATGCATTCATTTAGCACCAGGTAACTTTTTGTCAACAATACATTAATAGTTTTCTTCCTATGTGTAAATAACCGTAAAACAACAACTTAAAAAAGAATGGAGGGAGTATAACTAACCTTCAATCTGACCACCGCCTGAATTTTTGCTGGACCCTGAAGATGTTGCAGAGTTACCATTTCCACCGGAAGGTGAAACAGAACCAGGAGGACTATTCATAGGCCTTGGACTAATCATTCCTGCAGGATAGGGCATTGGATGTTGTATACCTGGCACAGCAGGATAAGAACCAACATAACCTGCAGGAGGTACGTGATAGTTTCTAGGATTCATATTGGGGCCAAGATCGGGCCGCAAAGCATTTCCTTGATTCATGTGAGGCATCATATTGTGGTAACCAGCTTGATTCTGCATTGGCGGCATGCGGTACGGCATAAGCCCATAATTTGCTGGAGCCTATTAAGAGAAAATTATTGTCATAGCATATTTTGTTAAGTTAGAATGGAAAATAACAAACAAAAATAAAAAATGTAATAATTTTTTAATAGATGACAGTAATATGATGAAGCACCGTGTGAATTATTTATTAAAGAAAAACTATAGTAGTCTTTTGTTGTTATTACAAACATAACTAACCTGATAACCATAACCGTTATATGGGGGTACATAGCCCATAGGCATGGCTCCAAACAACGAAGGATGCTGAGAATCAGCATGTCCCACATTAGAAGCTTGAGATTGTGCTTTCTGAGCTCTTCGGGCTTGTCTTTCCTTTTCAGTATCAGCCCATTTGACAACTAAAGGAACACTTGAACCCTGTACATGACAAAATAATATGAAATTATAGTTATACTTGTCATGTTAGTGGTATCACTGTCGACTTTCGTTATGTATGTGTAGGTAACATATAAACCAAATGACAATAAATAACTTTCATGTCCAGAGGGAATTTATTATTTGATCAGTAATTTTTTTGGAAGACTAGTTTGTCTAGAGGGAAGTAATTTGTGGTTTTGGAAAAATAAGATAGAGTGCATCTCAGCTACGGCCCATTTATGCAAGTTCATGAGATTTAGTTCATATATCTTATATTTCATATACTATTTCATATATTATAATTGTGTTCATCGAAACAGGGCACAAGGGTTTGTGCATGGGCAACAATCCCAATCTTGAGAGTTATTCAGCTCAAGCTAATTTATTGTAAACATGTAATAAGCTTAACAAGCCAAAGCTTGATTTTCCCTTTCCCAAGCTTAGATCCAGTTCGAGCCTGTCATATAAATAATGATTAGCGGGTCAAGCCAAGGCGTGAAAGATTATCATTGTAGATACAATCCCACCATTAGGTTTCCAATTTAAGACAAGGATACAAAACTGAAACAACAATTGCAGGTCTATAATGAAATCTGAACATGATTAAATGTTCACATCGCTCACCAACAGGATTTTGTGGCTGGATGCCGCTTGAAGGTCCAAAATACTGCAAAGACCATTTACAACTAAAGTTGTAATTGAGTTTGAAAGCATGTACTTTTCCATTCTACCACATGCAAGGAACCAAAAGCATATTATCAATCTAAAACAGCCCCCTTGTGCCATCTTAGTCACGGTTTCAACGACAATTTGCACTCATTGCATCAACAAAATTGCACATAGTACCACTAAACTGCTAAATAGTATCGTTTAGATAACAATATAGTTCCATATTGTATATTAAATCTAATTCACTCCATCCCTCCATTAGTAAAATACTAACTAATGGATGAAATTTTTAAATATATTTTTTATAGGTTTAAATATGTTTTTGGTCCCTAAAAATATATTAGTTTTTGTTTTTAGTCTTTCAAAAAATTTCTTCAAACAATGGTCTCCCAAATGTTCTCTATCATCAAATTTGGTCCTCACTATTAAATGTTCCACATGTGGCCTTTATAGATGGACTAAAAACAAAATATTTTTAGGGACCAAATACTTAGGTTAAAATAACATTTTGGTCTTCTATAAAATAACATCATTCATTTTTATTCCCTTTATAAAAAGTCATGTTTAACTTTTTTAACAGCAAGGACCAAATTTGTTATTACCAAAAATAGAAAATAGGATTAAACATCAACCTCCATTTTGTGTTTTCCATTGATTGCTTCCAAAGCAGCAAGAGCTTGTTCTTTAGTTTCATATTTCAAAAATGCACAACCTACTACAACATGGTAGAAGAAACGTGAATAAACCTTGTGAATTATGATTAAGGAAGGAAAAACCTCGAAAGAATAAATAATGAATTAAGATGCAGAATCAGCACCTTTACTTGTCTGTTGAGAACCTCTTAAAAGCTGTAAATCCTTTATAGTTCCATACTGGGAAAAAAGTTCAGATACTTCAACTTCAGAAACATTCTTTGGAAGCATGCCAATGAAAAGTTTGTGCTCTGGATTCAAGGACAATAAGTAATTATTTATCAAGACATGCCTTCGATGTAACAGAATAATTTCAGTACATGAATGTACCACAGAAAATATTTAATGATTAAAATATTAAATTAAACAATAAATATATACCACACCTAATCTTTCCAACTCGCCATCAGCATACTTCACTTGCAAAGGACTAGATGCCTGGATTAGAACAAGAAAAATCATATCATATACCATGGTTATCAAGAAATCAAAAGTATAATAGTATTGGGCTTTTTATGCATATTTGAATAAAAAATACAGGAAGAACACACACAATAACCCCTTAAAAAATTTCAACTTTAAAGGACCAAAAAATTGCAATAACCCCCTTTTAAAAAGAAACAACAATATCAATCAAGCCTTGTTTGCTAGGTGGAATTGACTCCGAGTTTTGAGCATATGCATTGGTTACATTACAGGAAACATATTTATTTATTAATGATACGACACCATGGCCCAATAGATTTGATGACTTAATCATTTGATGACTAATTCAATAAGAAAGTTTGTTAGGAGTGATACTCTGGTTTAGGAGCAATTCTGCTCTGGTTTAGGAGTTATTGGAAGTTGAAACTCTGATTTAGTTTTTCTGTATCATCCACCATTATAAGAGCTTTAAGCTCAACCAATTGCAGTAAATAGTACATTGTTCATAATAGTTTTCTGGTTTCTATCAGTTAACCCACAAAAAGTGTCATCAATTGTATGTACACTTAAGTACAATATATAATACTACTATATAATGAATATGTAAATACATTATAAATCAATCTCTAACTAGCATTTATTAATAAGGGAATAGGACTATGACCTCAACAATATCATTGTATTAATATCAAAAGAAGTTAAATAACAAAATGGAAAATAAACTACTCCATCTATCCCCATAAAAATTATCATAGTTGGCCTTTTCACACAACTTAAGGAGAAATTATAAATCAAGGAAATAGAATAAAAATTCTACCAAATTAACCCTATTAAGTTATTAACTACTACTACTAGTATCATCTAGTTGACTATATAATTATAAATGAGAGAAAGAGTGAGAGAGAATAGTAGCTTTACTGAATTATCCTTAGTAATTTCACTTTTATCATAAATGCAAAGTGATCTGCTTGATACTCTTCAAAGCGATGTAAGAAGTATTAATTAGAAGATAAAATTAGTATTAATTAGAGTACAATTAAAAAGATACAATATAATGTTATATTGAAAACTGAAAAGGTAAGTCAATTTGTGTTTTTTTTTTTTGCAAATACTCCCATCTAGTCCGTAATATAAGAAAAAAAAATGTTTTTTTGTTTTCACCACCAGTATCCAGTCCACTGAACTGACTAATCCGGTTTGGGGGTCAGTTTTGACATCAAATATTTCATTGAATAATTAATGTATTTGACTTATATAATAGACTATATACATTAATTATTCAATGAATCTAAAAAATAATTTTTTTCTTATATTAAGAACGAGACGGAGTAGATCACTCAATTTATGACATATAGGAGTGGTTGATTCTCATTATCATAAATGAAAAATTGAAAATAATGTAATAACTTCGGAGTGATGCAGTAGTAATTAGTTAGGAGATATAATTGGTAAAAAAATAATAAATGCTATATTGAAAATGACATTTCTTTGGGACAATTTTGTTTATCAAATATAACAATTATTATATGATAAAAACTTATAATTGAATAAAAACGTATATGTTCATGATGAGATGCAGGGCTCAAATTAAATCATGATAATGACTAATCATAATATAGCCTCAACTTACCAAGGATTTCAGGCTGCTATGCCAATACATTATAAGATAAACCAACTCCCAACCCCCTAAAACAAAGATCTTCCTAGAGGGATTGAGGATCCGATAAAAGTGTCACCAGATTGATTGCCATGATTTTTTTTTTAAATCATGCATGTGTATCTGCTTATGCATTTTAGATTCAGACCAACTAAAACAACAAACTTGGCCAATGGCTTCCATCATATGTATCACCGACCGTTCAGATTGAAGAAGTGTTTGGTGTCAAAGAGACGGACGAACATAACTTACATTCAATCATTTAAAAAATATATAAACAGTGTTATCAATCACTATGAGACATAGCAGTTTATTCGAACTTCGGTACATAAGTTGGAAGCAAAACAGTATTACCTTGGAAGTGCTTCAATAGCTTCCAGCCAAAAACCAATAAAGAAAGTTACAAAAATAAGGACACAACATAACCAAGATGTAAACAAAACACTATTGAATGAATGTGGAAAGACATCAAAAGCATTCATGAAAGCTATAACATTGAGTTACTAAGTGGGTTACCCAAATATAGCACTAACTACCAAAACATAACTTGCTAAAATTAGACAAAAAGTATCTCCACCAATTAAGAAACTTGTTACTAGTAAAAGCAAAAGTTACCACTAGTGTCACAATTCACAAACAAGCCATTTATAACAGAATCACCACATCATTCAACAGAATCATAACAGATCACATTCAACACTATAACAACACTATAAAAAATTACTATACTAACCCCGGGTAACGTCTTCTTATTGTGACACGCATTAACGGCCTTATCAGCTTCATCTCTAGACGGACAAATCACAAAGCAACAACCTACAAAAAAAAAATTAGGGTTCAAAAAAGGAATAAAAATTCAAAAAAAAAAATCTAGAAAATTGTAGAAAATTCGATTCAGTAGCGGAGAATGCGAGATTTGTGAAATTGCGAAGAAGAAGAAAACCTCGAGAAGCGCGAGTAGCTTTGTCTTTGATGATGTTGACTTCTTCAACCAAAGCAAACTCTTTGAACATTGTGAGTAACTCATCTTCCGTCATGTGCTTCGGTACTTGACCTACGAATAGTTTCACACTCTCTTCGTTAGATTTACTCTCTTCCTTCGTTTCCGCCATTAATGTAGTTACACGAACCTTCGTTTCTTCGCAACAATGACTCTCTCTCTCTCTCTCTCTTCTGAGATTCAGTTTCGTTTTTTGAGAGTCGTCGATGGTAAAATTGAGAGAGTACTTTCTCTCTCCTCTCTCTCTCTCTCTCTCTCTCTGATGAATTATGGGAAATTTGGATCTTCAATTTGTTTGCATAATGTTATTAATTGCAATTTTTTTAATTATTGAAAGTTTGAAAACCTTATGTTCGGGGCATTTATTTCTGGTTTTTTACCATTATGCCATTAGTTATGAAGTGGATTGGACACAGAGTGCTGTATGCATAGCTGTCCTCAATATGGGAAAATTATTATTAGTACTCTTTTGTTATTTTGTAGAAAATCTAGATGTGTTTTTAAATTCAGATAACCTAATAAATGGGGATTTTTGTTATTTTTTTAACTTGTTTGACTTATTTTAGAAAATAAAATATTTGTACCAAAAAGCAAACAGTCAGCATGCAACTTGAATCTTTTTGTGGACTTATTATATTATATTATATTGATAATTTAAATTTTTTTTAAATAATTTATCAAATTCATGATTTTTATTAAGCAACTGTATAAAATTTTTTTTGCATTAATGATGTATGTCCATTAAATTGAGTAACAAATTTAATAAACAACTCTCACAAATATATTTAATTAGTTGTTTTATTATTTAAGTAGTTGTTTTTATTAAAAAGAAAAACTTTAATATTTCCTTTTTTAGTAGGACAGAGAACCAAGTCGAACTGAAGTCGCTGTAGTTAACGGTCATCTTAGAATGTTACGGAGAATGAAAAATGAATCTCCACGAAACACAATGATGGATACATAAAAGTACTAGTACAAGTTTGTGTGTAAATTGTTGTCATCAAAATGTAATTCACTTTTTCCACGATGCAGTGGGGAAGAGTAGGTTGAGACAGTAGGGGTGAGTTGGTCAATTCAGAACTCAACTAAGTAATGACATGTGGGTTTGGTGTTTTGTCTTTATATATTTATTTTTTCAGTCAACTTTTATCTCTATGTTATTGCTATACTTAAATAAGTTTTCGTTCCTTCTAAATATATTTAAGTTTATTTTTAGTCTTTTTAAATGTTTTTTAAAAAAAATAATTTTTTAAAATTTTTTCCTGTCAATGTCTGTTAATAGAGTTTGTGTGATACAGTTGTTAAAAATATTGACGTGACATATTACGTGACTAAAGTCAATATCATATTAAAATTCATAAAATTCTGTAACTAATCCATAGTTAAAATCATAACTAATCTCTATCAAATTTAAGAACCAGAAAATTAATATTATACTTTAAACCATCTCACAATATCATACTGCAGAGAGAAAGGGTGTAATGAAGTATTGCATGTTACTTAATGCCCACAATGGCATCAGTTTCTATTATTTTATTTTATTATAAAAAAGTTATAAAATACAAAACATGCTATTGTAAGCAAAAGAATATGCATGGCATTGCAGAACTATAAAATTATTCACTTATCAAAGTTATGAGAAAACACATTGCAGTGCAGTAGCTTTATAATTATCATATAAGCATATAATTGTAAAATGTAAATCAGACTTAATTTGTATATTTTTAACTTCTTGTATATTGTTCTTAGTAAATAAATTACACATATTTGGTTTTTTGTAGACTCAAACAAAACTTTTACAATTTTAAAACAGTAAATTAAACAACATAACTGCTACATAACTACTAAAAGAAAACTAATGCCTTTCCTACTACCATAGTCAATACTAATTATTTATTTCTAACTCATTTAATGTTTTATTTCAACAAAACTCCTCCTTAAACATTAAATGCTTCTTCGATCCAGCATCCCAATCATCTTTCTGCCTCTTTCGAATACTTCTCTTGATAGTGGTTTTGTGAAGATGTCAGCTGCTTGGTCTTTGTTTGCCACATGCCTTAGTTCCACGCTTCCTTCTTTCACATGTTCACGTATGAAGTGAAATCGAACGTCTATATGTTTGCTTCGTTCATGATTGACTGGATTCTTTGCCAGCTCAATAGCTGATTTGTTGTCCACGTGTATTATTGTTGGACCTTCCTGCTTCAGCCTCATCTTACTTATCAACCTTCTGAGCCATACAGCATGACACACACACCAGGATGCTGCCACATACTCTGCCTCACACGTTGAAAGTGTCACTATTGGCTGCTTCTTCGATAGCCAAGTGAAAGATGTGTTTCCCATGAAAAACACGTATCCTGCAGTGCTCTTTCGATCATCAACGTCTCCACACCAGTCACTGTCAGAATATCCAACTAGCTTGTAGTCTTCAGTCTTTGAATAAAACATCCCAAGTGATACTGTTCTTTGGATGTATCTCAAAATTCGTTTCAGCGCTTTCCAGTGTGTGTGAACTGGCTCCTCCATGAATCTGCTCACTATGCCAACACTAAGTGAAATATCTGGCCTTGTGCATGTGAGATATCGAAGGCTGCCTACCAGACTTCGATATTTGCTTCCTTCGACCCGTTCTCCTTCATCAAACTTTGACAGCTTTGTGCCTGGCTCCATTGGCGTCGAAACTGGATTGCAATTCTTCATTTTATACTTTTCTAGGATTTCCTTTGCATACTTTTCTTGTGATATAAAAATCCCAGCTTCTTCCTGTCGAAACTCCAGACCAAGAAAAAATCTCATCAGACCTAAGTCTGTCATTTCGAATTCTCTTGTCATGGTGTTTTTGAAGTCTTCGATCATCTTAACATTATTGCCTAGAAAAATAAGATCATCAACGTACAGAGCCACAAGTAATAAATCACTTCTATTTTTCTTCACATAGAGCGCTGGTTCATAAGGGCATTGCTCGAATCCACTCTCCTTAAAATATGTATCAATGCATGTGTTCCATGCCCTAGGTGCTTGCTTCAGTCCATACAATGATTTCTTCAGTTTCAGCACCTTCTTCTCTTCTCCAGTTCTCATGTATCCAAGTGGTTGTTCGACATAGATTTCTTCTTCGAGCACACCATTCAAAAATGTTGTCTTGACATCCATTTGAAATATTTGCCATTTGAACTGAGCAGCTTGAGAGATGAGTAATCGAATTGTCTCCATTCTTGCAACAGGTGCGAACACTTTGTCATAATCAATGCCAGCTTTCTGCTTGTATCCCTTTGCAACCAGTCGTGCCTTGTATCTTTCGATCTCTCCTTGAGCGTTCATCTTTTTCTTAAATACCCACTTTACACCAATGGGTTGACTTCCTTTTGGTAATTCATCAACTCCCAAGTTTTGTTGTGTTCGATTGCTTTAATTTCTTCGTCCATGGCTCTTTTCCACTTCTCATCTCTTAATGCTTCTTCAACACTTATGTTTTCAGCATCTTACAGAAGGCACACAAGATGCACCTCACTTGTTGACTCATACAGATCTTGCAAACTTCTCATTCTGGGTTGTAGAGGTTCATCTCTATCTTCTGTTTCTTCATGTTCTTCTGGAGTGTTTGTTGGTACAGCTATAGTTATTTCTTCGACTGTGTCACCAACCTCTGTCGAAGTGTTCCAGTCCCACTTGCTGGCTTCATTCATTCGAACGTCTCTGCTTACAACCACTTTCTTACTTATGGGATTAAAAAGCTTGTACCCCTTCGTCTTCTCATCATATCCAATGAATATGAACTTCTGACTTTTGTCTTCGAGCTTTGTTCTTCGTTGGTCTGGTACATGTGCATAAGCTATGCTACCAAAAACTTTTAGATGAGATATTGTTGGCTTATGTCCACTCCATGCTTCTTGTGGTGTTTTGTCTTCCAGCTTCGAATGTGGACACCTATTTTGAATGTAAACAGCACATTGTACTGCTTCTGCCCAGAACTCTTTCAGCATACTCTTGCTTTTAAGCATTGATCGAACCATGTCAAAGATAGTTCGATTCTTCCTTTCAGCCACACCATTTTGCTGAGGTGAATATGGCGCAGTAAGGAATCTTCTTATGCCCTGTTCTTCACAGTACTTCACAAAGGCAATTGAAGTATACTCTCCTCCTCTGTCTGATCGAATTGATTTGATGTTTCTTTCTGTTGCCTTTTCCACCATTACTTTGAATTTCTTGAACACTTCTAGTGCTTCAGATTTTTCTTTCAGAAAATAGACCCAGGTTTTTCTTGAGTAGTCATCAATGAAGGAAATGAAATACTTCTTTCCACTGAAGGATTCTGGAGTAATTGGCCCACATATATTAGTATGTATCAGTTCGAGTATCTGTTTGGCTTGATACTTTACCTTCTTCTGAAATGAGGTTCTGGTTTGTTTGCTAAGCACACATTCTTCACAGAATTTTCCTTCGAATTCCATGTCTGGCAGTCCATGTACCATGGTCCTTTTTTCCAATCTTCTCAGACCAGCATGATGTAGGTGACCAAAACGCATGTGCCATAGTGACGTTTTGTCTTGCACTTCGATCTGCAGACATTTCTCTCGAATGTTCTTCAAGTTAAGTTTGTACATTCGATTTCTCTCCATTTCGACAGCAGCAATCAGATATCCTGCTTTGTCCTTCAACTGTAGTGTTCGATCTTTCATCAGGATCGAAGCACCCTTTTCAGTGAGTTGTCCCAGACTTAATATGTTGGTCTTAAGGTCTGGTACATAGTAGACATCTTCGATTGACCCAATCAAGCCATCCTTCTGCAAATAGCTGATTGTGCCCTTTCCTTTAACTTTTACCTTCGATGCATCTCCAAAAGACACGCTGCCATCTTCAACTCCCTTCATATCTTTAAACAGGTGTTTGTAACCACACATGTGATTACTTGCTCCTGAGTCAAGATACCAAATACTGTCATTGGTGTTGATTTCGTTTTGGGCCATCAGGAGAAACCCTTCATTCGATTCAGCTTCCAGGGCCATATTGGTTGTCTCTTCAGTCTTCTTTTCATTTCGACAGTCTTTTGCAAGATGTCCCACTTTGTCACAGTTGTAACATTTGTAGGAGTTGCAATCCTTCGCGTAA